CGAAAAAGCCCCACTTCCTCTATTTATTTTTTGACTTGATACATAAGGGGTGTGGTACCTTATATTCAGAATCTGGTCACGATTATTTGATTTAACTTATAGAAATTCAATATAAAAATAGAGATTTAGTTTTTGACCATAGATACTCTTAAGCCCCGAGTAAATTCCCTTTGCACATTTGCTGCACCACAAATTAAGCCATCAGCCTGAAACCCTTATTTACAAACAGTTATTATTCCTGTGAATATCAGGAGGCGAATACAAGCAGATGGTTGGTGAGTGTAAGCAGATGGCCAGCCAATGTAGGGTACATTTGGTGCACATTTTAATAACTCTAGAGGTCATGGTATGGGACCCCAATAAAAGTAAAGCGGAGGAGCCTCGTGCTTCAAAGTGGTCACGTGGAAAGGCACATAATTCCATTTTCACAAATTCGCCTGGGAAAGTGGAATAACCTTTTAATACTAATTTAAGCTTTATAGTCTCTTAGTATCAGAGGGAAGCTCAGCTACTCAAATCCCGATTAAATAAGGTCTCTCATGACACTGTATATGTGCAATATAAATATATATTTTAATATATTTAAATATAATATTTTTATAAATCATATATTATATTTTTTTCCAATGTGCATATACATATACGTTATATGTATATATGTATTTTGCTCGAATGTTTCTCCTTACAACAACAGATGACGTCTTTAGAGTTCGAGGTCAGCATCTCTTTAATCAAAGAAATACCTTTACATATGTATGCTGAGCTATAAACCCCCCTCAATTTCTATTCCTATTAAATGTATAGCCATCATTGATTTTCAGGTGGATTGCCGCAGTTATTAACTCGCCAGAAGGGTGATGGTATTTTCTATTCCCGGGTGTTTACGTTTGTGGTCTGTGAGGGAAATGGCATGCTGGAAGGAAGTATTAGTGCAATCACTTAGGACGTCTCCCAGTAATAACACATATGCTTCATCTTTTTTCTTTTTTTTCTCCCCTGTAACCTTTTAATTACACCAGCAAAACCATTTTATCTCCTTAACTGTGATTGCTAAATGAATCCCTGTGTAAGTGGAAATTATAGGCTTCTTTAAAAAACGCAATCACATTAATAACATGAAAATTTCATAGCTCAGTGGGAAGCACTTTAACAATATCATCAACAAAATCTGTTGAAGGCCCATCAAAAGGCATTAGGGCTAAACATTTTTCATCCTCGTTTTTCCCTTAATGAAATCGAGTATCATTTGAAAAAGGAACTGTAGCATTTTTTATTATTTTATGCTAAACGTGTGAAAAAGACCAGATAGATGTAAAATAAAAATAAACAAACAAAAACCAACTTATTATAATAATGGTTAAAACAAATCTGGATACATTTTGTATTATAAATGTGCCCAGACGCTTGTTATGAACTGTGTGCAGCCTCTGCTACCTAAAGCTTTGCTGATCTTTGAATTCCACTACCAGTCAGGTTCCGTTCAATTGAAAACAGCAGATTCTGAGCGGCCACAATGCTCCCGGTAGCCAGAGACTATGTAACCTTTGCCTAGGAATCAAGTCATATGTGGGTACACTTTTTTGGGGGGATTTATTAAAACTGGAGCAGACAAAATCTCGAGCAGCTGTGCACAGCAACCAATCAGCTTCTCTCTTTCATTTTGAAATCTTAAAAGGAGAACTATGAGGTGAGTGATTTTCACTCAGCCTCATAGTTCGAGCCGACGTGTGACAATGAAACTGTCACACGTCGGCTCAATAGATCGGGAAGTGAGCGAACACATACCGTCACTCGCTCACTTCTCGATCCTGTCCCTGCAGAGGGCCATGACTGTCACTCACGGCTCCCTGCAGGGATTCCCCTCTCCCCGCTCCGATCCTCCAGCGCTGACTGGAGGAACGAATGGGGGAGGGGGCGGGTACAGCTGGCTCTGCCTCTAGATAGGCAGAGCCGGCTGTCAAGCACGCAGCTGGGTGAATCTTGACAGTAATGTCGGGATCCGTCCCCGGCTGCGGCGGTCTTAGTATAACGCGAGCTGTAGCTCGCAATATACAAAGCTTTGGGTCACGGGAGGACGCTAGTTTATATCCTCACGTGACCCTGAGGAGAACTATGGGTGAAAAACACTTACGCCATAGTTCTCTTTTAACTGAACAAACTGAAGAGAGAAGCTGATAGGTTGCCCCGGGCAACTACTCCAGATTTTGTCTGCTCCAGTTTTGAAAAATTCCCCTCTTTGTATTTATGAGAAAAAAAGTGGTAGGGGTCCCTTATTAAAAATAATGATGTAAAATGAAAAAACTTTGGCAAATCAATAACCTTATTAGGGGTTACTACTAATAATACCTCTTTGCAACAATACTAGTAACATTATATGCATACAAAATATTTATTAGGACAATGAAAAGGGTTGCCATTAAATACATTTAAATGAGATGTTGACTGGCGTGGGCCATTATCTATCTGGTAGATATTACACTGTCTGGCCAAATAAAAGTCATCAACTGGATTTAGCTAAGCAAATAGGTCAGAGCCTTCCATTGGATAATAGGTCAGAGCCTTCCATTGGATAATAGGTCAGAGCCTTCCATTGGATAATAGGTCAGAGCCTTCCATTGGATAATAGGTCAGAGCCTCCCATTGGAAAATAGGTCTAGGTTCAGCAATGTTATGTCCCCCAAAAATGAGGTCAGCTGCCTACCTAAATATGCTGAATGACCAGGTTTTTCCATCAATGGATTTTTCCTTCCCTGATGGCACATTGGGCATATTCCAAGATGACAATGCCAGGATTCCTTGGGCTCAGATTGTGAAAGAGTGGTTCAGGGAACATGAAACATCATTTTCACACATGGATTGGCCACCACGGAGACGTTAACTGCATTGAGAATCTTTCGGATGTGCTGGAGAAGACTTTACACAGTAGTCTGACTCTCCCATCATCACTACAAGATCTTGTTGAAACATGAATCCAGCTCTGGTAGGAAGTTGTAATATTTCCATTGGTGGTCCAACGAAATATTGGAGTGTGAGACTTTTATTTGGCCAGGCAGTGTATATAGCTTCACTTAAAACCCACATTGAGGTATTGTTGGAGTACGGGAGCAGCCGTCAGTTTAACTAATATCAACCTAGAGAAGAATCCTACTGGCAAACAAATTTTCCTAAGTTGCAGGTTGCCACAGGGGTTCAAATCCACTTCGACATACTTCCACATCTGTATGCTTATCATTCTGAAGCCGTTTTTGGAACCAGACTGTATCATTCAGTATGTGGACGATGTTCTTTTGCAAACTGAAATGGAAGAACAGCACTATGCCCTGTTGAATGAGCTCCTGACACTGATTAGAAATGCGGGCCTTAAGCTGGACTCGAAAAAGGCTCAGTTAATGAAGGGTTCAGTGTGTTTTTTTGGGTGTGATAGTTTCACAGGGGAGGGGAGGCCTCCTGACCCGAACAAATGTGAAACTATCAGGAAGTAACCAAGGCCAAGTACTAAGACTGTGCTAAATCAATTCTTGGGGGTCGTTGGTTTCTGCAGAGACTTCATTGAGGTGTTTGCAGAATAGGCAAGATCCCTGTATGATTTGCTAAAAGGGTACAAGAAATGCATGAGAAAGAGGGAGGTAGAAAAGTGGGTTCATGCAGATCAGTGTAAAAGATACTGCTGATAGGAATTTGATTCTGCTCTTGTTCTTTTTTTTCCAGAGTCCTATTGGAGCGAGAGATTGGCAAGTCAAGGTCTCTGGAACATGAATGGAAAGATGATAAACATCTTGTTGGCCATCTATCTGGGCCACACCACCTGGCAAATTTATGCGGATGATTATTCGGGGGACTATGTGAAAGGGAAGATACTTCTGTTTGTGTTCTGGATGGGGAGATCATTGAGAGGACTAAGGCACCAGTGTATTATTTTAGGGCATAGAAGAGTGTGCTTCTTTATCCAAAGGGATACCAATGTCACCTTGGTTATGGAACAGGGGTGTTCCTTAGACATGGTGGTAGAGAGAGGTGCGTGGTGTACCTTAGGCAATGTCTCCGAGATCCAGACGCAAACATGGAATTATGTAATAACATCGGTAACCCATCTGTCCGAAGAGATCAAGTATAACAGTCCTGTTAGCCTGGGTGCCCTGGATCTGGGCATGGGAAGAAAACTGCAGGATTGGTTGACAGACATGGATAAAGATGAAAACCTGCTGAGGAAGCTACAGCAAGAAGGGGCTAATGCTACTATAGTCATATACCATGATCAGAACAAAATAAGGCAAGTGGAGCATCTACTGGAAAAAGGATGCTAGCGGTTATTGGTGGGAAACTTTATTTGGTTATTCCAGTAAGGCCAAGGGGGTTTTGAATTATTTAATACATCCGATTGTGGTATTACTCATTCTTGCTGTGGTTTTATCACTTGTACAAGTGTATATGTGTTGTTGGACCAGAAATTTATACAAAAGGATTTCGAATATGGATAGTAGAGTTGGAGGACAGATTGACAGTAAGGTCTTGGAGGCTTTACTGCCAATCAGGTGTCCAGAACAGCCCAGAGTATGCCAAAATTGTGGCAGGCCATGATGAGCGGGCTTGCATGATCCCAAGCCGTGCTTACCAAAATGGGATATAGGGGATGGCCAATGTAATTTTGTAATTAAAAGTAAATAAAAAACAAAGCATTGTCTATCCTCCAGACACACACAGGTATCTTGTAAAGACTTCAGTGCTGCTATTTTAGTGATCTGAAGTCCAAACATTTTGATTCAGTGGTTCTCACAGATAATGTATATATCTGCATTGTTACACTGCAAAGCCAGATTTTACCCACGGGGGGTATTGCAGGCGAATTGTGGCTTCAAGTTGATATATAACTCCAAAAGTTACTTATCCCTCCCTGTTACTACATAATAGAGTTCCATGCGGATTGGGTATTTGCATTTAAAATCAAAACATCAGATATCAAATATTTCTTATGAATGATAATAAGGTAAACATTGACCTACCTTTCTGAATCTTGCGATGGAAGTTTATGGCATCCACAGAAGCTGTAACTATGTTGGTCTTGCAATGGCGGGCAGCCACAATACCAGCAACCTCGTCCATTAACTTCATTGTAACACCTGAAAACAATGATGAAATGTCAATTAAATGTTTTAAAATGTGTCATTCAAAAGCAATTTTAAGAAAGAATGTGAAATTACTCAGGACACTGGTAGTGGCTAGCTGTGCTACACTCAGAAAGTCCACACACTTTATTTAGAGAGCTCCTCACATGTTTGATGGAAGCAGTGGTGTATCCAGGGCACATATGGCATATGCCCTGGGCACAACTTGAATGGGGGCATCTGCTCCGTGGGTCCGTGAAAGTTTACCAACCCATGGAGACAGCTTTTTTTTCCACTCCCTTACACATCTCCCCGCCTGGCCCTTAGCAACTGGGGATACACTGGCCGGCATCTTGCCCATCTCCTGGCAACCAGTGAAATCACTGGTTGCTAGGAGGGACGCTGGCCAGTGCGTCCTAGGTTGCTAAGAGTCGGGCGGGGAGATGTGCAAGGTCCATACACATACCGGGACCTGGGATGGAAGGATCGGCTGCCTGAGGTCTGCATTATGTCTGTACTATGTAACTACCTCTTATTGTGTAAAATGGAAGGCTTGTATGTTGCGCTCGGTTCAAAATCTATTTGGTTTGTCCGTGATATATCATCAAAACAATAGTTTATATAAATCGATGTGGTGAAAGGTGATAATACAATTAAATGAACACAATCTATATAAAAAAAACTAATGTGTATATACTAAATGTGGATGTGTGATCACAAATGCTAATAAATAAAGTATGTGAAAAAACTGAGTGATGGCTTTTAAGCGGAAGTGACTTGAAAAGTATCAAAAAGTGCTAAATAGCCGTGTCTAGTATAAACTGTGAACCCAAAGGCGCACAGTGAAATTGGTGCAAAAAAATGGATTGTGGACTGCCGTCTAAGTGAAATCTACCTATGAATTATTGTGCCAGACAATAAAACAGTGAGATGGTGATCTAGAGCGGAACTACAAGTTGTCCATCAACTCTTATTGTGTGACACTGGATAACTGCACAGATCTGGAAGAAATATTCAAAACATACCAAGATTCTCGTACTTAGACAATATTTGTTTATCCTGGAGATCAGCTTTAAATCCAGTACAGAACAACACGTTGGGAATATTTTATATTTAAAAAAAAAAAAATTTTGACAGCCAATGAGCTGTTAGCTTTCATTTTCCACCTTGCATTAGAATGACAGCAGAAAGCTAAATGACTGCCATGGTAAAAACCTGCAGTTTCCTCGCTTTGTACAAATCAGTCATCATATGAAAATTGCAGCCTTTACAATCAGTTTACACTTCTGTTCATCACATGTACATAAACATAGCCATTCAAACACCTTAACAAGGGAGATAATGACATCAGGAAAAGACACCTGCTCTGCTGACACATGTCACGATAAAAAGATAATTCACATCTGATCTTAAATGAATATTATTATCGTTTCAGATGGAAAGAAGCCACGCCGACTACGGAATGTGTCCAGCTGATACAAACTGATGGGCTTTATCTTTGAAATTCTCAAATGACTGCGGCTCTTCAGCTGTGATGGTTTTCCAAGTTTCTGCATTCTCTGGCCACCTGTGGCTCCGACAGCCGGCTGGCCATACTTTGCTTTCATCTAGTGACAGGTCAGTTTCCTCAACATTAAACTAAAAACTTCAAGTAAAAAAAAAAAAATCACTCCATCAAAAATATCCACATATACACTATATGGCCAAAAGTAGATAGCACCAATCCAAACAAGTTCAGGTCTTTTAATTGAATGGTATCGTTGATGCTACATTGACAAAAACATTTTAGGCAACTGTGCACTCCTAACCCTCTGACAACTGCATGACTGTGGCCCTGTCCAAAAAGCCAGCTCCGTACATGGTTTGATGAGCTTGGTGTGGTGGAACTTGAGTGGCCTTCACAGAACCCTGACCTCAACCCTGCTGAACAGCTTTGGGATAAACTGGAATGATGACTGCAAACCAGGTCTTCTAGTCCAACATCTGCAAATTAACAACCTACAAATGAAATGCTCCTTCGGCTGAAACCATGGCTTTGGTATATGATGTCCAACAGGCTCATATAGGTGTGATGGTCAGGTGTCCAAACCTTTGGCCATATAGTGTATGTCATACCTTACAAGCATCCCTCATATGTAAAGTTTAACTCGCCCCACAAAAACCATGGTAATGGAAAAAAGAGCAGTTGCAGTTCAGCTTCCTTAGTTACCTCTCCTCCTCAAATAAATGGCACTGCAACACACCTACCACACTGTAATGCACAGTAGGTGTGTTGCACGGTAGTGTGCGTTAATTGCATGGAACATGTGACTAATGCACAGCGAATGTGTGAACGGTCCCTTAGGGAGTGTTATAACCCCTGTCAATTTTATCTAAAACTAACAAAAATGTTTTGGCTTCAATTCTACTTTAAAGTAGACTGGTATCAAGTAGATTTGGGCATTTATACTGCCAGCATTTAAAATAATAGTTAATATTATATACATTTTAATTACTACATAACTGAATTAAAGGGTATCTTGTATAAGCCTGCAGGATCATTTTTATTTTCACAGTATATGGGGTAGGCACATCAAACATAGTGTGTCCATGGAATGTTCTCTCAGAGTCTATGCATTCAAGGTACATGGTCATATGAAATCGCTGGAAACCATGTCTACACTACATCCTCAGCTCCACAAGGACAAGATCAGAACAGTGACAACTGGGCACGATTATCATAGCGGCTGAACTGGTATAAGGAGGACTCATATACACAAGTGTTTATTGATTATAGTCTTCCATAAACATTTGCGAACACTGATGAAGATTGTAGTTCTAATTTTTGTTTGTGTTTTAAGTTTACGTTCATTGTATTTGCATGTAATTGCATTTATGTGATCCTTGCATCATGCTAGAGAGGAGCCAGGTTCTGGTTCAGGAGCAAGAGCAATGCAAATGACAGTGGATGCCAGAGAATGACATTATCTGCACTATGACCAGGACTTCAGCAAAGCACAGTGTGATTTGGAATATCTTTCTTGCACTGTCAGAGATTCCATTCCTAGAAGCACAGGTTTCTATAAAAGTGGCCAGTGTGGTGGGGTGGCCTGAGGCACTATAACTAACCCTGGATGAGAAACAAAAATGCTCAACAGGTAGAGGCTCCCTGTTTGCATGTCAGAATTCCAGTATGATCAAATGAAACTTCAAAGAAGGAACTTGGTCAGCATGTCCTCATCATGCGCCCCCCCCAACCACTGGGTCCTACAAAGTGGAGCTGAATGGCTCAGTGCAGTCTCTCTCTCTCTCTCTCTTTTCCTCTCTCTCATTTTCAACTTTGACTAGAGAGGATCTTTCATTTTTTTTCCTTTAACAAAAAATATGCTACATCTGCATCAAACCCTTGACCTAATTTGGGAAAAAAGAGCAGGGAGTGACGCAGACTAATGTAAAGAAAAGCGGACTGAAAACATCTGCTGTGAATTGTGGCAGAATTCTGATTCAACCATGGAATGTAAGTTGTTGAAATCCAGCTGCGTTCAATATGTTTATATCTACGATAAATATATAGCTTGAAAACATGTGACCAGGTCAACGTTCCCAAAACCACATTTCAACAACAGATGCCGTAATTGCAGTTCTGGGTTCTGAATTATGAATTACAAGGAAAGGAAATATACAGGGTTGCTGCTAATTCAAGTCAATAAGGTCTCATCTTTCATTGGCAAATCTGAGACAAAAATGTGGAATCTGATTGGTTCCCGAGGACAACACCCTGACCTCTCTGTACTTCATATGTAGGGAAGATATATTAACCATAGGATGGCCGATTGTTATGACGTGCCTTGCAGCATTTATATCTAAATAAAGTAGATATAAACCCTAACTGGATGGCATTTAATTAAGGTACTTTATATCAATTGACTTTTTTTTTTTTTAAACAAAATATACTCATTTTCACTGTTTTGTCATCCTTTATTACATCTCAGAGTTGCTGATCACATGCTTCCTGTCTACATGCACTCCACCAATGACAACATGCACTTCAGCAATGACAACATGGCATTTTAAGGGTAGATTTCCTGATGGGGAAACCAGTGGACCATGCCCATGTACTGTGCATAGAAACCACCACCTCTAATTTTCTTGAGGGGCCTCTGTGACAGGGTGACAATGGGAAAAGAAGGGGTCACTGGCACTTCAGTATGCTGATCAATAAGCCTTTATTGAAGCTTGCTCAGTATCACATAACACAATGTTTCAGGGCCATATAGGGTCCCTTCATCAGGCAAAAGGGGCAAAGCAAAGAGGTAGAGCAGCAAAGGGCAGTATAAGTGGGTTGGAGGAGTGGGCTTATAAGAGACTCTAACTGAGCAAAGTGACAGAGTCTCTAAGTTTGGAATGTAAGATCTAAAGGTTACAGGGTATTTATGGTCAAAAACTAAAACTAAATATGTATTTCTATATTGAATCTCCAGAAGTTTTAGCGAACTCCTAATAACCATATTGATGTAGAGGTTTGTAAACGTACTTACTTAACCAGTTGACATCCGCGGTGTTAAACCCCCTTCCCATCCAGGCCATTTTTCAGATGCACTTCCTTGTGTCACCTCTGTCAAAAAAAAAACTGCCTTCTGCATTACAACTCAATGTCTGAACCTGTACACACAATGTAACATCATCATTGCTTGCTTGAAGCAATGCATGATAGGACATGTAGTCTTGAGATTGGAGATTGCATCATATCAAGCAGCAGGATAGAGATGGAAAGCACACTGGGAATCTAGGAACTTGTTGAAAGTGATGGGCAGATGGAAGGCAGCACTTACTACATTAAAAAAAAAAACCTGTGAATATTCACTTTCTTGTGTCATCACTCTAACAAAGCGTGCCATCTGAACTACAACTTAACGTCTGAACTTCCCACAATGTAGCATCATCATTGCTTGCTGGAAGCAATGCATTATGGGCTATGTAGTCTAGCGAAATGGAGATTGCATCACATCAAGCAGCAGACGCAAAACACACTAGGA